CTCACCCACTCTCCTCCTCAGTTCAGGATCACTCCCAGTGGTATTTTGCACAATTTTTCTCAGAACAGAAAACTAGGAAAAGACAGGTGCTATTAAAATCACAGAGGAACTGGGGGATTTTAACATCCAGCACTATACAGTGATAAAAGGTGGATAATGAAGAAGCTATCAGATTGTTTTATATGCATATTTACAGCCCACTGGGGGATACTAAAGTATCTGTAAACAAATGTAACTGCTGATTACATGGCTTACAATTTCACAGTTCCATTTAACATTACAGTTTAGCTGAACATCTAACTATCATTTGCTTCAGTACAACTATAATGGTAAACTACAGGTGAAGATTCACTCGGTCCAACATTTGTATTCCAGTAACCAGTACAAATTAAAAAAAAAAAAAATAAAAATCACACCTTCTCAATTTCACTGCTTTCCTGCTTTTGACACTATCCAGCTCTTTCTTGGTATAGATCTTAACCTAAAATCTTGACCTTGACCATGGTGTAAAGCTTGTGCCAACTTACTCCTTAGTTCTTTTTCAGCCAGCTCCTTTATTTAAGAGGCTCTCTTCTTCCTCATAGCCTGTGAATATGCCAAAGAACTCCACTCCCAGCCTACTCCAGTCATTCAGCCCTTGGAAAGTTCTCACTCATTCCTGTTTGTTTTTTTTTTTTCACAAAGCAAATCCAAAATTCTTCCTATTCCCTCATCTCCCCAATAGCTCTTCTCTGTCAGCTTCATTGTCAAAGTCAATACACCAAAACCATCCTGGGCCTTCTATCTGATGCTGCTCACCTCCTCATCTACCCCCTAATTTGGATATATAGTCTTCTTTACTCTTTCAGATAAATCAATTCCTCCATTTCTTCCTTCATCATAGTGCTATTGTCCACATTCTCCTTCCACCCACATAATCAAAACTCACTATCTCCCATCTTGATTTATCAATCCTCCCTACACACTCCTAAACCCCACATTAGTCTCTCCAGATCCTTTCCCAACATCTTAGCACTTCCAAGGTTTCTCCTTTTCCTCTGAAACATGCCATACCGGAAAACTCCACAATTGTAAAGGTTCTGACTATTTATGCCTTTTGCACTCTCAGCCTACGTGAGGGCTTACGTTTTCCATTATTGACGGATCTGCTGCTCTCAAAAGCACCACAGCATTCGCTCCCACCCGAGATTCTCTAGCTACTGACATTATCTAAAAGTTTTGTAGAGGTGTATCAGAAATGCAAAAGTTGAGAAGGTATTTGAAGGCCAAGAATGTGTGAAGTTGTCTCAGCACATTGCTCTGATGGAACCATTCAGATCGCTGAGTTCTACGAACAGCTAGACGCGTGATCATCAGAGACTTGAAACAGTCTAGCCATTTATTTTGCTAATGAGTTTGAAGTAATGTGAACATACACCTGACTAGCTTTAAACACCAAAAGAATGACTGCATCCTATGATACTTATTAATAACAGGATGAACAAGCTTAATTACAGCTGCACAGCTTTGCAGCAAGTGTTCAGACAGACAAATGTAACCAACAGAATTAGAAGTTCCCCATTCTAAGAGCGGTGAAAGAAATTAGATATAGGTTTGTGGTTTTTTTTAAACTACAAACTGGATTCTTGGAAATTTTATCTTTTGGGTTTTACTCCACAGCAAATTATAATATATTGCTTTCTGTAAAGAGAAGTGTAGGTCACAAATTGAAAGCCAAAGATTTGGCTTAAAAACATAAATGACTATTGACCTCCTTGCTACTTAGATTATTTTAAATTAAAAAAAAAAAGAAAAAAAATTGGATTATATAAAAGCTTCCAATTAATTATGTTTAAAACAGGAAGATTATTTGTATTATATTACGCTAAAAAAAAATTTAATCTAGTAGTTCCAATTCCCTCCTTCCAATCAGATCAAACAATGCATCAGAATTATTTCTTGTGCTACAGTTTACCCATCAGAAGCCAAGATCCAGCACAACTAACTTTTTTATTTATGCTCTAATCTTGAGCAACATTACTTAGTGACCTCAAAGTAAGGGCTGCTTTTTGCAAACAAGCGAGGCGTCCAGGCTTGCCCTGTAAAACAGAGACGCAGCCAGGGAACATACAATGCAGCTCCTCCCTGTACTCCTTCATTGCACTGCATACCTAACCAGAGTAGGAGGTTTCAGATAGTCCTAGGGGGCTCACCTTTAGGTGGTCAGGTTAGAAACAGATTTTATCAGTTGTTTGCAACACCCAAAAGTCTTTATGTAGGCTCTGCTTCCCAGGAAGTGATACTAGCATATTTACAAACTAATTTGTCATAACAGGCCCACTGTAAAAGATGTGGCTCACAGGCATATCTGCCATATATTTCTAAATGGATTAGAAAATAATTAATGTTTATAAAGCCTCAGGCATTTTGTTTAATGAAGAGATTAAATGTAATGCCAAATAAACCTTTTACTCAGCTGTTTGACATACATGCTGTTACATGTTTTACAGTTACTTAAGCACAATTAACCAAACTTGAGACAATGGCAAGGCTGCCAAGCACAGATCAACTGTTCGCTGCTTAGAAGACAGGTAATTAAAACAAGTTCAGTTTACTAGAAAAGAGCTGCGAGCACTAATAACTGTGGTTATTTACCTAGTCTAAAAGTAAAGCACCAGACAAGACATAAAAACTGTCCAGGCTACACTAGGTGACCAAGGTTACATATGTCATTAACTGGACATCCCCAAACTGCCTTGGTTCCTAGGCATTTTTGGTGCATGGATGTTTTAACCAAAGGAAAAACAAAAAAACCCTATCAAAGTACATATGAGGGAGAGGGGAGCAGGTCGGAGGGTTAGAACTAAAAGTTTGTATTTAAAGTTGCATTTTATGAAGTAATTTACATAAGCAGGAAAAAACCCCAAAGCATAAAAAAGGCACGGCAGAGCTCTGGGGCCCTGAAAAGGATTAGTAAGAAGCACTCCAGGGGATGAGTCAGGAAAGAGTCAAGTGTGAACAAGAAAAAAAGAGCTAATTTGTCCAGACCCACAGATGCAGTTGAAAAATTCTTCTTACCAACCTTGTTCTGGTAACAACTTATTAATATGTTACAAAATCCTCCTGTCTGACACCTCAAGGACCTATCTATTGTGCCATCTCCCAAAGGAAACTGGCAGGACAATTGGAAGAAAACTTGAAAGGAAGCACTTGAATCTCACACAAAAAGTACAAGTTAGTAGAGAAATACAAAGAGGAAGATGATACTGAATAGGGAAGCTGATGAAACTGGTTAAGGCGAAATAACAGAAAGAAACAGCAGCTTGCAGAAGATGAGATCTGTAAATCCCAATGACAGAAATGCAATCTGCAATCAAGACAGCTGGTAAAGGTCATTCAAGGAAAGAGCCCAACTGAAGAGAAGGATCATGAGGAGATTTAAATTCTGAGAGTTGCTAAGCAAAGGGGAGAAAGAGACGAAGAGAAAACAGAAACACTGAACAAAGATGATCGTTAGTTATTTTTTCAAAGCTTGTGTTTTTCTCTTTTTGACTGACTTTTTTAAAAGCCTCATCTCACAGAGACCCCTATATGTCACGTAAATTAATCCTTCAGGTAACTTTATCTGAACTTTTGTAGGTATTTTGAAGATCATTTTCACATTACAATGGGTAACACAAAACACAGTCAGATTCCTTTCCTCTAACAAAAAGAAGATTGATAAAACTTGATCACACTCTAACATTACCTACACAGGAAAGAAATTTGTTAGAAGACTGAAGTTACCAGATAACACTATAATGAAACCAGAAAGCTGGAAGTTAGCAGTACGTATGTTTAGCAAAACTGGGAAGTGAAACTGTTGTAAATTCACACTGAACAAAATTAATTTGCAAATGTGCCAACCTACTACACTGGTATTCTAAATAAAGAACTAAAGACGTATTTTCAAAACCTGTTCTTGCTCAGAAAACGTAACAGATTGTTGCAGGAATTGTTCTGTGACTTGTTATGGCCTACATCATGCAAGATACCAGACTTGATGACCACAGTGACTGCTCCATTATACTGTAACATATACAAAACTTTTGCCTCCTGCCTCTTATGTCACTATTCCGCTAATAAACATTCCGTATGAGAAAGTGATAAAGCTACGCATCTTCTATTAGCCTACATCTGTAACATAAATGAAATTGTTTCCCAAAAACAAACAAAAAACACCGCACCTGCCCACTTTTACATCTCCAGTATTGCATTCGCTATAAGAATTTAACCACATACCTACAAGTCACACTTAGCATTCTTTTTATGACCCGTTCTTAAACAATAATTTTCTCCAAAACCTGCTTTTGATTAAACTTTCTAACATATCACCAGTTATTTTATATCTTTCTGTAACAGAACGTGAACAAAAGAAAACATCAGTTACCCGTAACTACGTTATAGGTAGTACAGTTGTAGAAAAGTAGTTTTGATTATTACTTAAAAACCACTAAATATTGTAGTAGTTAGAAAGTTAAAGATAGGATAAGGAAACATACTGTCCATGAGACCAGTATCAAGTTCCTAATTCAGACCTTAGCATTATCAGTTGCAGAATATACATAAAAAATATGAAAGGACATGATTTGCCAGTACATTATGAAAACAATGTACTGTCTTCACCCTAGAATGGAACTAATAAATTTCTTGCAACATAGTCTAATTTATGATTGCATGAAAGTGCCCTTGACAGAACTGTCCATACTATGACTTTGCAAAAAAAACCAAACAAAACAAACAAAAAAACCCCCCAAAACCAACAAAACTGTTAAAACAACAAACAAAAAAAAACCCCAAAACCAACAAAACTGTTAAAATGAATTTACCAATTTCAGTCAAATTGAAGACTTGGATAAGAAATTACCTTTAAAATTACCACCCCCATACTTAGAAACATTATTTAGATTTTTGAAAATATAATTATTTTTCACGCTTACAATTAGAAAGAAGCAAGGATTTTGCAAAAAGTTAGTACTTACTTATCTCCAAAGAATTTTCTCCAGAAATCTGCAGCATCAGCTTTGGTGATACGAAAGTTATCACCCTGGAATTGGCCATTTGGAAAAATAGCCTTGATTTCTGCAAGCATGTGGCTGAAGATGAGGGACAGCTTTGTTAGGTTTCTCCTGTGGATATAATAGGAAAAAAAAAATCACATGAAATCCTTAAAATTTAACAAATTGAATCAGTCTTTCAGTATCCCATATATCCTGCATTTCTGTCTAATAACCACCGTGTGACACAGGAAAATCTTTGAGCTTTCAACTGAAAACATCAAAGAAATACAAATCACTACCTTGTTTCCATGTACTTCTGAGGACTTATTTTTCATAAGTCTCTAGGAGTATAAAATCATTTGTTCAACCTCAGAAAATATTTGAGTTCTCAACTGCATATTCCAGATACACTTCTGATCCCCGTAAAGATTAAACTTGAGTGTTTCCATTTCATTTAATCATTGCAGAAGCAGGAATTTATACTAATTAGACAGTCAATACATAAAAAAGAAAACCCCACAAAAAAACACCACACCAAAAAACTCAAAATATATTTTTATAAGTGACATCAAACCCACTTCAGTCCACGTTTCTAGAAATATAAACATAGCACAGGACTAGATTTACTCTTTTTTCCTATGACAATTTTATTCTTTTTATGCTTTCCAGCTTTCCCTTACTGAAGCTACTTCCTATTCTCTTTTTAAATGCCTTCTCTTTAGTTAAAACTTGCTTTCAGTTTTCAGTGTCACTTTAGAAACAAAAATCAAGGTTTTTGCTATCAGCTCACTTCCATAATCTTTCCAGACTTGTAGCAGTTCAAAAAAAATTGTTTAGTTTTTGGCACAGAAATCCCATTTAGCATAGCACAAAGAACATTGCATCCTTAAATGCAAATAATCCTATTTTATGGAAAAATCTGTGGGAGATGGTGGGGAGAAGAGAGAGAAAGGTGAAGCAATCCTTTTAATAGTTTTCTTCTGGAGATTCCATAGATGATCCTTGCAGTAAAAAAGGAGTATCTTCCCACCTAATATATGAAATAGAGACCACCCAGGAGATTGAGAAGTTTTTGACGAAGAATTTGTATCCTTATGTATTTTAATGAGTTAGAAGTGTCCTCCATGATCTCAGGTACTATTTAATAGTGCTTCAAACAATTTAATGAAAAACATAAAATTCTTATCAATCACATAATTTATTACTGCTTATAGACACTATTTTAAACAAATCCAAATTTATTTGTAAGTCCCTAGCCACATGGAAAGATTAAGATAGATTTTTACATACGCATACCAAATAGCTTTCAGAATGCTCAAAATCTCAAAAAAAAATGGTTGAACAGATTTCCTGGGGTCTTCCTAAAAGAACACTCAACATAGTACTGAAGCAGGAATTATTTCAACTAAATTTGTGCACAACTTATAACAGAGATTCCTGTGGAGGCTGTGTTGCAGATTTTATTATAGGTTTTGCTACCAGGAAAACTATGATAAATACAGTTATTTTGAAAACATTAAGTAACTTAAAACAAACAACCCCCCGATGAATACACTCTCCCTCCCCTCAAGATCCAGAATGATTGTAGGGCTAATTCCTTCAGAGTCCTTTAATTCCTCCGGTATAATCAGATGTCTATAATTACGATGCCCAACTGTTCCTTATTTTCTAGATTTGTTCCTTGCTGTCCCCCTTCCTATGTGCTTTGTACTTTAATTACACACACGTGTTCTTTATTAATTTACTCCTCAGAACTCAAGCCTGATGCAGAGAGCAAGCAACAGCTATTTTAATGTGGCTTCCTCAGCCTGCCGTAGGCCCAAGATTAAGCAAGAAGCTTTCTGTACTCAGGACAGATGGGAACACGATTCAGTGCAAGTCTGAACAGAGCTCTCCCTTGCCTGGTACACCATGTATCTATCTACATTAGCACTGTACTGTGCTGCAGGGGTTCTTTTCAGGTTCAAATTTACCTTGTGAGCTTGTTGGATGCATGAGGCCTGAGCCCTGTAGTGAACTAAGGGATGAAGTCAGGTGCGGGTGCCATCTGGGGCTCCTCCTTGCCCAGAGGGGAGTGTGTCTGTGTGCCTGTATGCACAAGCCCATGCACATGCATTGCCTGTTAGGTATAGCTGCACAGTACGTGACCAGAACCAGTAACTGGTAGGAACTGGACAGCAAACACACAGGATAGACATGCACCCAAATGGTCGTACCTATATCACAAACCCTGTTCCTTCCCTCTTTGAACAGCACCAGTCACTAAGTGTATCAATACACTTCTGTTTCGTTATACAAGTTGGTTAAAACAAATAAAAAAGTCAAATTACTTTTGTTTGTATACGTACAGACAAGAAAAAAAAATGTTTTAATATCAAACTAAGATACCTTCTTTTTATCTGACTGCAAAGCTGAAACTTGAAACCAACTAGAACCTTATCTGTGCCTGAACACACGTCACATAGCATGTGTGCTTAACAGAAAATGTCAAATTCTTGATCATTTATATATATGGTAGCTGTGTTTCCTCTTTGATTCTTACTGTACCAGATTATTATCTCAAGTCCTTCTTTGGCATCAAATAATCATGATAACTCATGTCTTAGCTTTTCACTTACATTTTTTCTTTAGAATTGTAAAGCACATACTGCACCTTTTTTACTTATATATGCTTATGTGATACCAGATCTTAGTAATTTATTGAGACACTGATACAAAGTTCAATGATTTCAGAAATGGTTTTCAAGAATTATACAAGGTGCAGAGACGATGCCATCAAGGTGGGCCTGTGATTTTCCATACCTGTGCGTTTCACACTTCTGACAATGTCTATACATTTTAGCACACGTATTTTTGCTGCCTTGTGGAGGGCTTTCCCAGGGCATCTCAAGAAGCACATACTCCACTTCATCCGCTTGTCAGTCTGTGCCACTCCATTTTCTAAGTTAGGAAGACTCCTTTTTCCCCACCCATATAAAGATGGGGCAGTGTCAAAAAATTTCCGTCTTATTTTCCATTTTTAAATGTAAGACAAGGTACTCAAGTCTTATTTATTTAAAAACAACTAAAAACATCAGCTTCTGCATTTTGGTGAATAATCCTAACAGAAGACAAAGGGTCAGTCTGAACCACCTATTTTAGGTCTCATTCCCTCCACGAGGCTGTAAAGAAAACAATCTTTATCAACTCAGTCTACATCTCTGACTGCAACACAGGCTTTTCTTCTCCTGGTCACAGTAAAGACTGTTGTAGTGGCAGAGGGACAATTGTACTGGCAGTCTGGTGGCACAGAAGAGCTGAGCAGTTACGTGCTCTGGGGAGACCCTTTGACTCACTAGATTCTAGCGGGAAGAGCTATCCTAAAGGATTATATTGGAGCTTTACCTTTCAGAAATCAAAATTAAACAACACTGCCTCTTTATATCAAATTGAACTGAGATGACAATTCTCCACAACATAACAACTACCGTGGTAAGATTTAAGAATATTTTAATATTAAATAATGCTATATCAGCTGCATTAGGTCTCTTCCATATTATTTGCAACATACTCAACACCTATTACTTGATGTTTTTCCTATGATTCATGCTTAGTTTTTGCTAACTTTCTTTTGCCAGCTGAAATTGATGCCATACAGTTCAAACCCCTTGTGAACTTGATTTCTGAAGTATCAGTTTTTCAGTCATACTCTACTATTTGTTGCCAAACATGCTTGTACAGGAGGGATCTACTGAAGAACCAACAATGTTTGAACCAACCCCAGAACACCTAAGATAAAAATTAAAAACTGAATGTTAATTTAGTACAAAATTGTAAAGGTCTACTGAATCAGTAAACATCTTTTGGTTAATTAGAAGAAAGATACTTTTTCTTTTTTTAATTTCAAAATTAATCTGTCTTTTGGAGTTGTACCCTCACCAGAAAGTTTTCTAGACAGACAGTAATGCCTGAAAACAAGAATTATGAATTTGTTCACTTTTCAGCAAATTACTATATTCTGAAACAATTTTCTCTTCAACTCTGGGGAGGTGGGTCAGGCTAGAGAATACTGCAGAAATCTCACAACTGAAGGACTTTTCCAAGTACCCAGTCATGTGTGATTTGTAAACAGGGCTTAATAATGGAAATATTCCAACATCCCAGCCACAACCAGAGCAGCAGCAGCTAGGAGTAGAAGGTCTGAAGCAGTCCTACCCTCCTGGATCTATTAAACAGGAAAGGGAAGCATGACAGGCATGCAATAACACGGATAATTTTTGGCTATGTCAACTTTGTAATCACTGTATGAAAGCTAATTTACTTTTTGGAAGGCAATATGGTTTAGCAAACAGAACTGGATAGGGAATTAGGCAGTGTCTCTTCCTTTCCTGCCACTGGCCTGATTGACGAGATGGGAGGAACACCTGTGTCCTGCATTTACTGCCTGCCTATGCAGGTACACAGTGTAAAATACCCAGAGAGCTCCAAACAAATACACTTGGCAAAATCAGGATATTCATAAATATACAAAGCAAAAAAGCACACATCTGTGCCCTTATCCTTCATAATTACTGGATTTCACAGACCATAACCAAGACAAAGCAATTTTAGCAATATGTATTTATATCTCATACAACTTGAAAATGCATAAACCTACTTACATACTGCATGTGCATATAATTTCTACTTTTATGCTTACATATTACTATCTTCCATGAAAAACAATTTGTACAACTATACATATTTCTAGGAAAAAAAAAAAAAAAACAGTGTAGAAAAGTCATGACTGTATGTCTTTGCAGTTATGTCAGTCCAAAAATTAGGTTACTGCTGGGTTTCCTTCTTCATTGCGTGTAGTAAGTGTTTAATCTTTCTGCATCCACACAGATATATTGTCAAACAACAACCTGCTGTAATAAACAATCCATCAGCTTTCCAAGCTCATAATACATAACTCAATTCCCTGGCATAGAAAAAGAGTCTTTAGAGCTAGAATAAATTCCTTTTGGCAGCAAAGAATATTCTCCAGATCAATCTAACACAAAAGTATACTAGACTATTACTAACAGATAATTCCTCTACAATTCTTATTTAGAATAATTGTACAAAGACTGCTCTGTTATCTGGCAAAACTGCAAATCGTAACTGCT